ATGAGGTTCAGCTCGAGAGGGTGAGCCCTAGTCCCATATCCTAAGACTCAGCTTGAGAATGAGTGGGGTAAGGCATAGGATGGTCTTCATGCGGCAAATGGGTACCTGAGAGGAACACATTTGAATCGGGGTAAGTTGCCCGAGAGGGAACTTATTTCCATTTAAAGCTTAGCCTAGTCACTATTGTCTTGCAAATTTCCTATTGAAAGCATGTACCCAACGATTTATCTCAACTTGTATTGCGGTCACATCCCAAGAACCTTTCCCATACTTGATTTTCTTATTTATTTTGCTGTTTTATCAATTGTTACAAAACCCCTTTTGATATTTCACACTTCTGTGTCACCCCCTTTAATTTACAATGTATTTTATGGCAAATGTTTTTAGCTACGACTAATTCAAATGAAATTCTAATTGGCTATTGATTCTCAAAACCGCTCCCTTGGGACACAACCCTTGGGATACTATATTATCTATATTCTCTTGTTTGTTTTGAAAACAAAAATTATGAGTGAGAACGTGTGGGACGGTTGCCACGCAAACAACCCAGTGAATATTGACTTGCACCGAGATGACATTGGCGATGTTAATAGTGTTTATGATCCCGCTCCATTGGGTGAGATAGGTGCAATTAGCTTGCCGCAGGGTGGCGAAAATGGAAATTATGAAGACACTAGCACAACACTCCGTCTCATACATTCAAGGGGCCTATACAGAGGATTGGATCATGAAGACTCACATCAACATATCCAAAGCTTATTGGACATATGTGCTCCGTTATCATTCAAAAATTGTCGCAAGAAGCCATCAGGTTTCACTTATTCTCATTGTCACTGACAGGAGCAGCCACTACGTGGTTGTCTGAGCTTCCCAAAAGTTTTATCACATCATGGAAAAAATTAATCACAGCTTTCCACAATAGATTCTTTCCCCGTCAAAAATGATGAAGTTGAGGGAAGACATTTAGAATTTTAAACAAAAAGCGAGTGAACCAATGCATGAGTCGTGGATTAGATATAAACGGTCTCGGTGAAAATGCCCAACACATGGGCTGCCAAGTGAGTTGTTACTCCAATATTTTAACCGAAGTCTTGATTCAGTCAACAAAGGGATAGCTGATCAATTGGTTCAAGGCGGCATAATGCTACAGCCCTTTGAGGTGGCCTCATTTCTCCTAGATGGTATGGCGAGAGTAAATCAAGCTTGGTACACTAAAGAAAAGCAAATTTCCCCTTTGTGTTTCAGGCTGACGCAAGAGCAACTCGATAAAGAAAAAGAGAGGGATGAAAACATCAAAAAGATGTTGTCTAAGATGGAAGATTTACAAGAGCACATGAAAGGCAACTGTGAAGTGTTTCGCGCAGAGGGGGATTCTTTTTCCGATAACTTGAAATTGGGAGGGAATCAAGGTTGGAATCACAGAAGGAATGAGGAGGGTTTCCATCCGCTCTATCAACCGCGGGTTGGAAATCAAGGTTGGAACCACCCTAGAGGTGACGGACCTAAGCGATATTTCCAAGAGTGGACTAAGCATAACGATCATGAAGAATACCAAACTCAATTGAGTGACAGCCCGACATCAAGGGGGAGTGACAACAGCCCTAGGTGAATGATCTACTGACATGAATTCTTGAGAAAGTTGAAGGCTCTAATGATTTGCTAAAAGGAATGAGAGATGATTTTTATTCGCTAAATAGTAAAGTGAACTATCTTGCTAATGCCATCAAGATGCTGGAAGGTCAATTGAATCTCCTATCAGCCCAACTAACAACCAAGATGCCAAAGGAAAATGAGGAAGGAGAGTTGGCTGTAATTACCCGTAGCAGGAAAGTAACGATAGGTAATGAAGGAGAAGAACGTGAGGAAAATCATGGTAGGGAAGAAGCAGAAATTACCGATCATCAAAACCTCGGCAAGAAAGCACAAGAAGGAATGAATCAGCATAATGAAACTCCAAAAATAATACAACCCTTACCCAAAATACCTCCACCTTTTCCCCAGCGTTTGAAAGAGAAGAATGAAGAAGAGAAGTTTAAAAAATTCTTATCTGTGTTCAAGAAGTTGTCCATCAACCTTTCTTTGGTGGAAGCATTGCTGGAGATGCCAGTGTATGCTAAATTCATGAAAGAGCTAGTCACCAAGAAGAGGATCTTGGATTATGAAACGATTGAAGTGCCTCATAGTTGCAGTGCGATCATGAAAAAGGAGTTAATCACTAAAAGAAAAGACCCCGGTGCTTTCACCATCCCGTGTACTATTGGAATGCTCCAATTGTGACCTAGGAGAAAGCATCAACCTGATGCCATATGCCATATACAAGCAACTTGGATTGGGAGAACCAAAGGCAACTACTATGAGACTTCTTATGGCAGATCGATCGATCAAGCATCCTATGGGAATCCTCATGATATCTTGGTCAAAGTAGATCGGTTAATATTTCCAGCTGACTTTGTGATTTTAGACTGTGACATTGATGTTGAGATCCCCATTATTTTGGGAAGGCCATTCTTAGCAACCGGCAGAGCATTAGTGGATGTTGAAAGCGGCAAGTTGAAATTCCGTGTGAATGATGATGAGGTAACTTTCAACATCTGAAAATCCATGAAACAACCAAGTGATATCCATGTAGTGTCTACTGAAGATGTTATAGATGAGGCGGTGGCAAGTGTGAGCCATCTGTTGCGCAAGAATGAGCCTCGTGAGTCAATACTTGCAAATCATGACGAATCGAAAATTCAGGAATATGATGAAATGATCGCGGCCCTAACAGGGTTAGGAGCATATGCACGAAATCCAATTAAGTTGGATATCGACCTAAAAAACCGAGACAGCCCACCTGCAAAGTTGTCAATTGAAGAACCGCCAACTCTAGAACTGAAAGTACTCCCATACCATCTCAAGTAAGTTTTCTTGGGGACTAACAACACTCTTCTAGTGATTATTGCAACAAATCTGAGTGAAGGGCAGGTAAAAGTGCTTGTTGAAGTACTACAGCGGCACATAAAATCGATCGGATGGACCATAGCTGATATCGTGGGCATCCCGCCCGATATCTGCACCCATAAGATTCGGCTGGAAAGTGAATGCAAACCCAGTGTGGATCATCAACGAAGGTTGAACCCTCCGATGCAAGAGGTAGTAAAATAGGAAATCATGAAGTGGCTTGATGCAGAAGTAATCTATCCGATTTCAGACAGCAAATGGGTCAGCCTAGTGCAATGTGTACCAAAAAAAGTTGGCATAACAGTGGTCCCAAATGCTAAAGGAGATCTTGTGCCGACTAGACCTGTAACGGGATAGAGGGTATGCATGGATTATCGAAAGCTAAATTCATGGACTGAAAGGACCATTTTCCAATGTCCTTCATGGACTAGATTCTTGACCTGTTATTAGAGGGAGGGTGGTATTGTTTATTGCATACAACCAGATATCTATCGCACTAGAAGATCAAAAGAAAACCACTTTCACATGCCCTTACGGGACCTTTGCATTCAAAAGGATGCCATTCGTACTCTGTAATGCACCGGCAACTTTTCAACGATGCATGTTGTCCATCTTTGCGGATATGGTTAAGAACTCTCTGGAAGTCTTCATGGATGATTTCTCAGTCGCGGGGGACACATTTGATAAATGCTTGACACATTTAGAGCGAGTGTTCCAAAGGTGTGTGGAAACTAATCTAGTTCTAAATTGGGGGAAATGCCATTTCATGGTGAAAGAAGGCATTGTCCTTGGGCATAAACTTTCGCAACAAAGGCTGGAAGTTGACAAAGCAAAAATTGAGGTTATTGAGAAGCTACCACCACCGATCTCAGTAAAGGGCATTCACAGTTTCTTGGGCCATGCAGGTTTCTACCGGTGATTCATTAAGGATTTCTCAAAGATTGCACAACCGCTATGCAAACTCTTAGAGAAGGAAGTGAAATTCTACTTTGATGACGCTTGTATGGCAACATTTAAATGCTTGAAGAAGAAATTGATATCCACACCAATTATCATCAGCCCCAATTGGTCAGAACCATTCGAAGTAATGTGTGATGCGAGTGGGATGACATTATGTTTTGTATTGGGATAAAAGCATACCAAACTGTTTCACTCAATTTATTACGCAAGCAAGACTCTAAATAGTGCCCATCGAAATTACACAGTCACTGAACAAGAGTTGCTAGCAGTGGTCTATGCTTTCAAAAATTTCTGGGCATACTTGCTAGGCACTAAAGTAGTTGTTCATACAGACCATGCAACAATCCGATACCTCATGGCAAAAAATGATGTGAAGCCAAGATTGATAAGATGGGTGCTACTCTTGCAAGAATTCAATTTTGAGGTAAAGGATCGAAAAGGTTGTGAGAATAAAGTTGCAGATCAGCTCTCGCGGTTAGAGAGTAAAGCAGGTACTGAGCAGGAAAAGGAAATAAATAACTCATTCCCAAACGAGCAGATATTCACACTGTCACTCACACACATGCTATGGTAGGCTGACTTTGCAAACTATGTCGTATGTGGGTTGATTCCCGATGAGTTAAACTCTTACCAACGAAAGAGGTTCCTATTTGATGTTAAAAGATACTTCTGGGATGAGCCATACTTATTTCGGGAATGTGCTGATCATGTCATAAGAAGGTGTGTTTCGGAAGAAGAATCAACAGAGATCCTCCATGCCTGCCACACATCACCAGTCGGGGGTCATCATAGTGGAAACTGTACCGCAGTTAAGATTCTCCAAAGTGGTTATTATTGGCCTTCTCTTCACAAAGATGCCCACGATTTCGCAAAGAGATGTCCTCAATGTCAGTAGCATGGCGGAGTGTCAAGAAGGTACGAGTTACCCCTTACACCTATTTTGGAAATCAAACTATTCCATGTGTGGGGAATCGATTTCATGGGCCCATTTGTCAGCTCGTTTGGAAACAAGTATATCTTAGTAGCTGTGGACTATGTATACAAATAGGTGGAGGCTATCGCACTCCTGAATAATGAAGGAAGAAGCGGTGTCCAATTTTTGAAACGCTACATCTTTGCACGATTTGGCACTCTAAGAGCAATCATTAGTGATGAAGTATCGCATTTTTGCAATAAGTGGTTTTCCAGTGCATTGAACAAATACAGAGTAAAACACAAGGTGGCCACTTGATATCACCCTCGAACGAGCGGACAAGTTGAGGTGTCAAATCCTGAGATCAAAAGCATTATATCCAAGACAGTAAATGACAGTAGAACCGGCAGGTCTTGAAAGCTCCACGATGCCCTGTGGGCATATCAGACTGCTTATAAGACACCGATAGGAATGTCCCCATATTAGCTAGTTTTTGGTAAATCATGTCATTTACCCGTTGAGCTAGAACACAAAGCCTTATGGGCATTGAAAGCTCTGAATTTAGATTGGACAAAGGCTTCAAGGGAGAGGTTGGACCAGTTGAATGAAATAGATGAGTTCAGACTCAGATGTTACGACATCCTAGCCATTTACAAAGATAAAATGAAGAAATGACATGACACACGGATAGTCCAGAGGGAATTCAATGTGGGAGATTGGGTGTTATTGCATAACTCGCGACTAAGGCTATTCCCAGGGAAGCTAAAATCCAAATGGTCTGGGCCTTTCAGAGTGACAGGTGTGTTCACCAATGGTGCCATAGAAGTTGAAGGTAAAGAGGGACCCCCATTTAAAGTTAATGGACAGCGTTTGAAGTTATACCTTAGGGACTGCTAGGAAATAACTTTAGTTGAAGAATTGTATCTGGAGGATGCTTGATAGTATTCCTACTTCGAGCCACGACGTTTAAATAAGGCGCTTATTGGGAGGCAACCCAATTTCATACCAATTATATCTGTTTGATAAAATAATAATATGTTGATTCTGCAGATAAAAGCGTGGATAGTGAACGAACAGTGCAAATAGGTGCACCACAAGTCCATTTAGCGACACACAGAAAGAAGCGGCAAAGCTCAAGATATCTTTGGCGAACCATGGACTGGTTTGGCGATCGCACTATTAACTGCCATTTGAACTCTCCCAGTCTGGGTTTGGAGTTTGTAAAACTTGGTGCACTTAAAAAAATAATTAGTGGCGAATCGCTGACCTTGTAGGCGAGCACAATGCAAACCGCCATTCGGACTCACCTGCAACCAGAGGTCCTGTAATCTTTCACGAGGAAGCTAGATATTCGGCGTGTCGCCGACTGAACAAGCCAGTATAATTAATGTCACTGAATAGGCGATAACTGTAAAGTTCTCCAAGCAAAGGTTTCAAAGTGTCTCATTTACTGCTTACCTCACTTTTTCATACGCCCTAACTCACACTTGCACGCTAGTTTTATATTTCTTGTATTATTAGAGTATTCGCGTTGCTAAATTGTGCTCAGTTGTGGATTGCATGGCAGCCCAACATTTTCACACAAGGTTGGTCTTTCAACACCCCGAGTTATTTTTGAGAAATCTAACCTCATTTGCAACTAGTTGATCAGAATATCTCTAGGTCAACTAGTTTATTTTATCGATTCCCATCTAACACTTATTATTCGTATTTGAGGACAACTGCTTTAATTTGTGGTGGGGTGAGGCCCACACCTTTTGTGTTGATATTCGTGTTTTGTTCTGTATATATTTGGGTTGTCTTCTTTAATTTACGTTTTAAATACTGCGTTTCTGTGGATGTTTGAGCTCGTGGCTCCTGTTGTTCTAATTGAAAATAATTTTGATCCTTCCAAAAAAAATTCACCACCTCTTGTGTCGAAAGTGGCTATTCTTTTGCAAAAAAATTGAGTCTCGATTTTGATCAATACCGATGACTTGAATAGTGCTCCCAATTGAACAAACATGAATGCACGGCTACGACGAGGCCAAATGAAGTTACATAGACAATATGT